ATGTTAGTTGGGATTAATTATGATTAATTTCAGAAAAAATGGGCGATTAAATTAGTTTAAAAGAATTTTATCGATGTGTCAGTGAATCTTTATCTCTAATTATTTCTTCATTTTCTGTAGTACGTTGACTCTGCAGATTTGGAGGCCGGTACGTTACAGGAAGAACCTGTGAAGTACCACGAGGCCTGGCAGAAACTCTGCAGTGCAGAGTGAGTAATTACACCTAAAATATACATGGCTGATTTCATGCATTTCAAATCTATTCTGCTTAGTAAAATGCCTTAATGGTGTTCTTTCATTGAGGAGAATTCAGACACAATCAGTGTTCAGTTTTCGCCCGCTGTCCTGATGTAGTTTTGCTAATATTACTGCTGCGGTCTCTCGTGTCGTCAGTGGTATTTTAGTACCTGGAGGTTTTGGAGTACGAGGGACGGAGGGCAAGATTCAAGCCATCAGCTGGGCCAGGAAACAGAAGAAGCCTTTCCTCGGTAGTACCTCATTGAAATGCATTAAAACTGAATGTTCTGCAGCAGCGGTGAATGTAACCCATCTGTGACGTTCATCTTTCAGGTGTGTGTTTGGGGATGCAGCTCGCTGTGTGTGAATTTGCTAGGAACATGTTGGATTGGAAAGGTACGTTTTTCCTACGCCCATAAAAAAAATAAAAAGACAAAAAAAAATAAAAAATGTACCGAATGTTTAACAAGCAGTATTGAACAAAGTGTGACTCTTGTTTTTCCTAGATGCCAACTCCACAGAATTTGACCCGGAAACTAAATATCCTGTGGTGAGTATCGGATTTAGTTTAAATGTGGATTTCTGGTCTGTTTTGCATCAGAAGCAAATGGAGCAGATGTAATGATCCGCCTGTGTTTGATTGGTCGTCTCACAGGTGATTGACATGCCAGAGCACAATCCAGGGCAGATGGGAGGAACTATGCGGCTGGGGAAACGGAGAACCATTTTCAAAACCAAAAACAGCATACTTAGTAAGTGCACTTCACGAACTGAAACACTATACCAGTAATACAACAGAGAACTTATTTAAACATATTCTCTCTCTCTCTCAGGAAAACTTTATGGAGATGTAGATTATGTTGAGGAAAGACACAGACATCGCTTTGAGGTACATCACCTCTGCTTTTTTTTATAGATGAATTTATATGACAGTGTGTAAAATGTGATAGTAAAAAAATGGACTGTGGGATTTATTGAATATGCTGAATTTGTCATGATTTTGGTGGTTGTATAAATTAATCATCTTGAAATAAAGCAATAAGCACCAAGAAGCCGTGGTTTACAGTGAATTTATAACAGCTAAGGGGCGTTGTTAGCTGTTACAAATTCACTCTAAACCATGGCTTCACGGGGCTTATTGCTTTTATAAAACGGTTATTCCATATACATAGTAAGGTTTCACAGAATAAAACAGCAAATAAAGTGTAATGATAATAAAAACAGTATTCTTCCACCAAACAATGTAGTTCCTCAGAATCAGTTGTGGTTCTAACAAAGTGGTTGCTGAGCAACACACAGAAGTAAACAAAGGTGTATGTTACTTTGTAGAGTAATTTACAACAGATTCGAACGCGGCTCAGCCAATCAGCATCAAGGACCGGAACTCTCCGTTTTATAATGTATATTTTAATTGACTTATATTTGACCATTTTTCTGAAGTGCGTGTCATTATCAGACTTCTTTTGATAATTTCACAGTTCTTCCTTCTCTTGAAAATGAAAAGATTGATCTTTTTATGTCGTCCCCTTCAAATATGTTGTTATATTTGGTAAATCCATTCATTTCTTAGAATGAGTTCAAAATGGCAGTTTCAGTCAATCGTCTGATGGGTTAATGTCGTTTCTCAGTTTCTGTGAGGCATTTTGCTTGCTATAGTTGAACACATTTCTCTGTGAACAGCTGTGCTTTCATATAAGCACCCAAATAATTCAGTTGTAGTTGGAGGCCGAATCGGGGTGAAAGGCTTATGTGTAAACAAATCAAATGAAATGCTTGAATCAGACTATTCATCAGTCGAATTGCTAAATACCATGCACATAGGCACAGTGCTGTGAGGTGTATGTTAGCATACATTTTTTGTAATATGAATGAGCGCCTGTTTTTTCTGTTTGTATTTGCGTCTTATGAACTGGTCAGTGGAGGAGACGGCCCTTGAATATGTACTAAATGTTCGCTAAAAACATTTTTTTTAGACATCGAGGTGAAAATGTCAATTATGCTCACTGAAGTTCTGTCTGGAATACATGTATTACATGTGTAAGCCCATATATGAACTGGATTGCAGAATTTGAAAATTGGATTAAACTGATTAAAATTAGCTGATGTAAACACATCTGGTACAAAGTATTTGTTATTATTAATATTTCTTCTGTTTGCACAGGTGAACCCAGAGCTGAAGCAGCATTTTGAGGAGAAGGGCTTTCATTTTGTGGGTCAGGACGTGGAGGGTGAGAGAATGGAGGTCATCGAGCTGGACGGTACGTACGTCAGAGGAAACTCACACAAGATCAATTGAAATGCACACTATTTTGAAAGCATATTTTCATCCTTCAACATTTATATGTGCTGATGTGAGAATAGTGTAATCGCTTATTAACATTGTTATAGTGAATATTTTAACCCCTAGTCATTTTGTGCACAAGGATACCGTAAACCAAGGCCGGTTTTAAGAGAACTGTCAAGTCATCTTTATTTCTGTAGCGTTTTATACAATACAGATTGTCAAATCAGCTTTAAGGCCTTTCCACACTGAGCGCGAAAAAGCGAAACGAATATCGGACGCGATGACGCGCTGGAATAAAACAATAGATTTCTATGGATGCTTCCACATAGACTGCGAACATTCGCGCACCGAAAATGCACTTTTTTTTTTTTCGAACCAGTCCGACGAATCTTTTCAGTTTCGCAAAGCGAAAACACGGCCCGTCCAATAAGATTCGAGCTAGGATCACGTGACCGGAGCAGCTGCTGTTGCACAAAAGGTAAGAGTGGTGGCGCTGTTTCGAAAACCAGTGTAAACAAACACCAAAGAAGAGTATGTCGGATAAGAGAAGAGAGTGGAAGCTGAGTTCTTGTTATCGTTGGTATTTGAGAACAGATTTATTCTCACATGTTCTTTATCCAGAATAACATTTCTGTTAATTGTCCACTGAATCATGTGATCTTTTCTTCCACGTGTGCGAGTGTTATGAGTCAGAGCGCGTTCACTCTTTTTCTACACATGAAATATGAAAGCAAATAGACATGATTATGACGATATTTTCTGTATGTGTTTTGTATGCAGCTAATGGTATTTTTATAGCAATACAGGATGTCTATGACCAATATTAACAGTGTAGCATTATTAAACATACAAAGTGCGCATGTGTCTGCTTATTAATCAAAATCAACTATTGATCACAATCGGAAGTTATTACAAGCACTCGATGATGGTTTAAAGTGGGTAAGCAAATACGTTAATTTCATACATACAAGTGTAGCTTGATGCTAATTGTACTTCTAATTATATTTTAGGATGTAGCCTATTCTTGTAAGCATTATAGTTTGTTTCTGGTGTAGAACCTTGTTCATCTTAATTTAATGCTGTATATTGAATGATGTTAAATCCATTTACGAGATACATATCTGAGGAAAAACGCATTGTTGGTCGGCGCCACCTAGCGTGCAGGCGTGAATTAGCAGAAGGCAAACAATCGTTTGGCGTGAAAACACCGTTTGTCTGCGATTCGCCTCACTTTTTCACATCGCGCTCAGTGTGGAAAGGCCTTTACTGTGATAAACAGGAAAATGTCTCAGTGATGCAGACAAAATTCAGCTCTGCTGTAAAGCAGCTCTAAAAGACAATAGTAAACAGTTGGTTCATTGTTGATTATTGATATAATTGATTTCTGTGGTCATTTGACAAGAAATCAAGACCATGCCTTTCTTGTCTACTCGATTAGTTTGACAATCAGTTTGTTGTTGTTGCAGATCACCTGTATTTTGTTGGTGTCCAGTATCACCCAGAATTCACATCCAGACCCATAAAACCGTCTCCGCCGTACTTGGGCCTGCTGCTGGCTGCAGCTGGGAGGCTTCCAGGTCATCTTCAGGAAGGCTGTTGGCTCTCACCACGGTATGGACTGATGTTCTCCGAGCGGCCAGATTCCTCTCACCCAGTGTCATCCAGAGATTTCTCATAATAAAAACTGGCTGCTCTTTCATGAACACAGACCTCTGACAAAATGTCTTTTATCATTTGCATTATGGTGACTGCCGTCAGAACCTTGTTTGAGGAGTTTTGCATTATACCAAATAAGCGGTTTTCTGTTGACAGAAACATAGTGACCGGAGCGGCAGCAGTTCTCCACACTCTGAGATCGCAGGCTTCAAACTACGCTCAGGAATGAATTGGTACGGGTTTGTTCATATACAGCATGACTTCCAGAAGTCTGTTTATACTTGTTGCTGTTTTTTTTCAGGGCCTGCTTTCTGAAAAGGATGTGCTACTGAAATGTAGTTTTATATTGTCCATTTTCAAGGGAACAATATTTGACATGAAGACTGGCAGCTCCATTTGTATTTTACTCATTTTCCATTGTACACGAACTTGTGGAAATTATGTATAAACTTGCTCTGACCAGCGGTTATGGAACAACTAGCAGTCATCTGTTCGGTTAAATATTTTAACATGCGTGTTCTGAATTTTTACACTTGATACTGTAATCAAGTATTTCGCATTTGTAATACTCAGTTTTTGCAAAATGTAAGTAGTCATTGATACTTTGTACCCTATTCATTTAGTACAAATTCTGCCTTAAGCCCAGCATTGCCTCAAGCAGAAACAGTATATCAGATTTTTTCAAACACTGAATCACTTTTACAGAACAGGTAAGAATTTAAAGAGACATTAAAAAGCAACAATCCAAATTCTGGTAGCATGCAACTAACAAGTCTTTATTTTACAGAGCTGATCCAACAAACAAATGACCATGAACAGGATATGAAAGACCAATCCACACTTTAATATTAGGTTTGACTTGCATCACTCATTTTACAACTTCCACTTGCTGGTCAGGAGCTGCTGAAGACCTAAAAATAAATGAATAAAGTTACCACAAGTCATAACAGACAGCACAGACAACTAATTGACAAGCTCTGATCTCAGTCCCATATCCGCAAGTTTCATCCAGCAGTCACCAATAAAATCTCATCATCCTTGATCAGGAATCACTTCATTAGAAGCGGACAGCAACGTACCTGCAAGTCCGCCTGTTGATTCAGCACGCTGTCGGAGAACCTGGAGCACACCGACAGCACAGTCTCAGGAACTGTGAAAACCACACTACAGATGCTGGACCGGAGGCAAGAACACCATTAAAGCCAAAGAGATACCAATGGAACACCATAGATAGTTAAACTTGGCTCAGGAGCGTTTACTTGAGTCTCATAATAGAGCTGCTCTCTCAGAGAGGGCAAGTTTGTCATCACAGCCAGTATTGAAACGAAAATCCTAAAACCGATACCAACCTCTTAGAGAAGGCTCACTCGGACATCTCAAGCAGTATTTTGATGATGGGACGTCTTTATAAAATCAACTCATTTTGCATCATCCGACCTGCAAGGAAGTGAAACCGCTAACATTAGGCAGGGCTACTTAAAGACTGACCTCCATGAAGACAAGTTTCGGTTGTCCTTTTCCTTAATGTTGCTGGGACAGCTACAGGTGAACCATACAGCGACCGTCAGTAAAAGGGTTGCTTTTGGCTCCTGTTTGACCGGACCCGTTATAGAGGAACGGGAACGACTTCGATCAGGGCCACGACTTCACTCTTACCATTAACTTCACATTCACAAATTTAATTGGATTTTAGTTTGGTTTTTTTTAAATGGGCATGGGCCAAATGTTCATTAGCGCCCATGAAAATGTGCAGGTTTACTGTAACGTTAACGTTGCATGGTTAAAGTTGAATCAATACCTCAGCACTAGTGATCGCGGTGGAGCCACGTGGTGATCCGATATTCACTCCGACAAACACCTGGAAAGCAGAGGAAAAAAAAAGAGGAAATCAGGGAGACATCCACGGATTCACAACAGAAATAACGTTACAGATATAGCCTAATTAAGCCTAATACAGATGGAACGTTATATCTCGCAATAGCATATAAAAAAAATAATGAGGCACAACTGACTACATAATCTACCCAAGGCTACAGACGTGGCATTTTGGTACATTTAGCCTACTTCCACATTATACACACAAAAGCAATCTAGACCCATTGAACAATCAATGAAAACAAAACGAACAAAAAAAAAAAAGGCCTGAAATAGCGTCGCTTTTGGACACTACTCTGCAAGCAACGTTGCACTCGCTCACAAAACCAAGAGTGCATTCAGAAGCCTTATGTTTGCAAAAATCATTTTTAATATTTAAAGACTGGAAGGCCAAACGCTGTTACACACTGCATCCCGCTTACGACTAAACTCCACAAACACTCATCCTGCGCTGAACGCTTGTTACTCACAAACGGTCTAGTGGCGTAACATCCAAACAAACTCGTTATGAAAACTAGCTGTTAAAACGCCACAAACAATCTTCGATGTTACAGGATTGTGTACAACTCACCTCCGTCCTCTTGAGAAAGCGGGCTGAAAGAGGAAGAGGAGAATGTGACGCGTGCTTTTATACAGCGAAACGTAACGCTGATTGGTCAACGGGCTCATCGCTGATTGGTTGAATGAGATGGCTGGGTCGCAACGCTTGATGGGATATGTAGTTCTGATTTGTAGAATGTAGTTCTGGGATTTCTCGGATGTATATTTGATGGTGTCTGATGACTTTCTTTTATTTATTCGACTGAAAAGTATTTTTTGTTCAATGTGAAATATATTTGTAATACAAAATATGTACGCACGTTGAAATTATAAAGTAATTAACATGCTGTTGTTGTTAAACCCGTGTTCTAACTGACTTGCTTTTACACGTTGGCTGAAAATTATAACCGTTCGCTCCAATAAATTACACAGTTAAAAAAAAAAATAAATAAAAACCCCATGATTGTGCAATGGCTAATTCCATCTGTCCATAGATTATGCCATACACGAATAGCGGGAGAATTCTGTGATCAGGATTAGTGGGATACTGGTCAGCTGATTAAAATAACCCCATTAAGCGCTTTATCTCCTTTTTAACATTACATGGTATTTACAAGCACATTCCGGATTTGGGGATTGTTAAATTACATGCTGAAGGCCCGACAGCCCCAATGACGGCACATGTACTTCAGCACCACGGACAGAGCCAAGATCATCTCCAGTAACCACAACACACTCATAAACACTCTTAATGAATGCATCGGCTACACGATGTGGTCTGATATTTGGCTCTCAATGCGAGACACCTATCCATATCACGCAGCGCAGCTCTCGTAGTGGATCGAAAAAACTCCGACTAATCATAATGCATTCATGGATTTGGATTGATTGTAACCCTTTAAATGCCAGTTGCTCACATAATATAATGCCATTGTTTTTTGTTTTTTTTTAACAAGTGTTTGGTGTTTGAACGCTTTGGATTATTACAGCAGTCTTGGGTAGCTTGTCAATGATTAGTAAGCACACAAACCAGATTCTGATATCCATGCCATCACACCCACACAATCATAATAACATAATTGCAATTCAATTTGCCTTTTTTGCCCAGCAGAAGCAAGATAATAATAATAATAATAAAAACAAGGCTTAATAATGTTTTAATGAAAAACATATTCTTAAAGGCTACTGTTTTTCGGAGGATGAATTGTTCACTCCGATTATTATTAAACACACGTTATTCATTATTAAACACTTTGTTTTTTAGCATTGCTGTTTTATACGCGCAATAAACCATGAGGTCTTGCTGTACAGGGACTTTACCCCCATTACTCCGCTTCACGCACTGCTTACTAGTAGCTACTAAAACCCTCGTAGTTCACCGTTTCTCGTGGCTTATTGCTTTATACATATTTATAAATATTACATAAACACAGATAGCAAGAACGTTTGGGCCAAATGTGGCTGATAGCTGTCACATTTGGCCTAGGTATGGCATGGCTGAGCACATATGGGCCAAACTTTAACCGTATATGTTTTGCCATGGATTTAGAATTGGAGGGAATTTTCTTTTGGATGAGGTGTATGGTCCAGATGATAGTACACAACCGAGAGCCATATGTGGCTTGGCTATGGCACACCATGGAATATGTTAACTTGTGGTTAACATTTGGCTTTTATTTGGAAAATATTGTTTTTTTAGTGTTGGTTATTGTATCTAAAAATAAATAGCTATTTATAACTATAATAGCCTTTAATATGTTAGTAATGTGCGCTAATAGGGCTCCCTATTGTATAGCATTAGCTAAGATAGATTTTTTATCCTTAATAAAATTGTAATTATAATTGAGTTTATTCAAAGGCAGAGCCATAAATTGTTCAGTAAACCACTGTTTATTAAAAAAAAAAGCAATTGTATGTTTTCTCCCCCTGCTGTACCAAAAAAATACTTCAAAACTGAGGTACAATTACACTACTAATGTTTTCATTAATTTTATGTATATTATTAAGTATTATGTCTAAAAATAGCCTGTTATTAAAGTAGCTAAAATTTCCTCATTTAAAAAGGCACTCATGTCTTGGGTGACACTCATTTATGTGCTTGTCTTGAAATAATATCTAATGTGTGATACTAATTATGATATACTAATGTTCTTTTTTCTCTTCTTTTTCCTGACAGACCGTGAGTGAGAAAGACTGGCGAGACTTACTAAAAGGATCGATTTTTGTACATTTATTCACTCACCTGACATTTGCAAAATAGTACACTTCTGTTATGTTCTGTATTGTAATTCTGTTATTAAAAATTATATAATGAACATTTTAAAAATGAGTGGGAATCCATTTTTGTGTTTAAGATTTACTGAGTAATGGGTATTTAAAAAAAAAAAAAAAATAGGTGTGGTGTAAATGTGGTTAAATAATGGCATTTAGTTTATGAGCCACATGTGGGCCACATAAGGGCCATCAGCCCTTTACAGAACTCAGCCATATAAGAATACCATATAAGGTCCATATATCAGCCACATCTGTTTTTATTATTTGGCTCACTCTGGGTTGGGTTATGGCACTGTTTAGGCTCAGTTCTGGCTAAAAAGATGTGGAGCAGTTTTGGGCCGGCGAACACAAACTAATCTGGGCCACACTTTAGCTGTTGATATGATCCAGATCCGCGCCAAAGGAAATTTGCTGACTGGGACGGGCCTGCTCGTATAACATATAATGGGAACAGCATTATATAACGACATGCAATTCTGCAAAACAGGTTTCGCTTCCTCCAGATATCACATGAAAGTAATTCACTCCATTTTCTGTAGTTACTCATTATTCAGAAGAAGCGAGATGCGAACGAGCATCACATGACTGCAGCACATCCTCCTCAGCCCCACCTTCATCCTCCACACACACGCTCAATGTAAACACCGCTTTGTCTCTGAGCCCGTGGCTGCCTGGAGCTCTGCACTCGCCATGCCATGGATACTTTATGGCAATACCAGTTCAGGATCATTTTACTGGGGGACTCGACGGTGGGCAAATCATCTTTGCTCAAGCGGTTCACGGACGGCGTCTACAGCGATGCAGCGGACCCGACGGTCGGGGTGGATTTCTACGCCCGCTCACTAGACATCGAGCCCGGCGTTAAAATCAAGCTACAGCTATGGGACACCGCCGGCCAAGAGAGATTCAGGTTAGTCTTGTGTTTTATTGGTATTATGTTGGCTATGTCTCCATGCATCGTGCTATAAACAGAATGTGTGCATCTCTATATGATTTGATCACATTTTGTGATACCATTGGTTGTGTAATATTGTGCAGAGCACGTATATGTATCCCTTTATATCAGTATTTTATATATCATTTACCTGCTGGGTGTCGTGTAATACGGTTCACAGGCCCAGGACTGTTTATGAATGAGTTAAACGGGCTCATCTCATTGATTTGTTCCAGCATCATATGCCTCACCTGTTTGGACTCTGTGATGAGCATGTGTTTGGTTTATTATTGTTAACGGGCTCTGATCCTGCTGCTGTCTCTGATCTGTTTGCCCTATATTTCAGTGCTTTAAAGAACTGTTCATCAAATACGAATCAACCAGCGGAAAAGCCTGTCTTGTTTTTATATTCTGAATGATCAGACACACACAGTACTGGTCTAATTTCCACATATGATAGATATGCTCAGAAAAATTGGACATACACATTCTCATCAAGTATGTGATCTATTAGGATTAAATGTGTAATTAAAATTAATTTCAGTAAAGATGGATTACGGACTATAGGCTAGTGGGGCCAGTGCTTCAGACTGTCCATCTGATAAAACACGCCACTGCAGATGTAAAATGTATATAGCATAGATGGACACATTGCTTGAATGTGTGCCAGTGCTATTGTCACACAGTGAAATAAACTAAGAAATAAGGAATGCATTCATTTCTAGCCGCAGTGCCCTCCTGAACACTGTTTTGTAGGTTTAATGTTGTCCTCCTGATACATTTTTGTCTTTATTATACATTTTTCCAAGGTTGTTTATTCTTTTAAATGCAACTTTGCAGCTTAATCTTATAAATGATTTGATTTTTCATACTTGAAATGTAATTTTTTTTATCTTGCAAAATCCGTCTATCAATTTAATTATACTGAAAAGTCCACAAGGTATCCAGACGCTTTATGTATTATGCAGTAAATACAATTGGAGGCTCGGTGGTTTCTTGTTTCAGGTTACATGAGTAAAGTAACAAAATGGAATATTCTGGATTCAATAATAACAGTAATAATAATAGTAATAATAATAATAATAATAATAATTGAAACAGCTTTACAGCTCGAACAATACACTAGTTTTAACAGAAACATAATGTATTAATTCATAATTCGTATGAATTTGTACGATCTCAGTCATACATTTCGTAGATGGTACAAATTCACCACCTTGTAAAATTACATTTTCTCATGAGATCGGGTTGCACATTTCTGCTTCTAAATCCTCCAAAAATTGGTCTCATTTACTTTTATCACAAGTGCTGTGATAAAACCTTGAAATTTGCTGCTTTTTTTTTCTCAAGAAAACAAGGGAAGAGTTGAAACATTATGCAACAAATGCTGTCGAACTAGTATGGAACTAGGGTTGCAAAAAGGCCGTAAATTTCTGAAAAATTTCCAAAACTTTCCACAAATTCTGGAAACTTTCCAGGAATTTTCGGAACTTTTGGAAAGTTCCAGAAATTTTTGCAACCCTATGTGGAACCCAAAATATTCCTTTACAGTGATCTGCATTTAAAGGGGTCATCGGATGCCCATTTTCCACAAGTTGATTCTTAAGGGTCTTAACGAAAAGTCTATATCATATTTTGGTTAAAATTTCTCAATGGTAGTGTAAAACAACACCCTTTTTACCCTGTCAAAAACAGCTCTGTTCACTGTGAGCCGTTTCGGTGCATGTTCCTTTAAATGCTAATGAGCTCGACTCACTAGCTGACAGGGCATCATCACAGTATGGTAGGGGCGTAACATTTCCGTCACACGCTTGAGGTATTCGGCCAATCACAACACACTGGATAGCTGGCCAATCAGAGCACACCTCACTTTTCAGACCGATGCGCTTTGTAAAAATCGACGCGTTTCAAGCTCTACTCACCCCGCCCCTCTCTTCCGTGGGGTGATGAGCCGTTCTCATGAGACTGTAAACTTTAGCCACATTCATCATGAAACTTGCTGACTAGAACATTTTTAGGAAAGGGCGATTTGCAAATATTCACAAAAAAAAACAACAACCTTAAACTCAGTTGGAGGTGAAGCTGGATCACGACTGATTCATGCGAACATAAACGAATTTAGGCAGATTGGGGGCACATTCCCTTCAAAAACAACTGTGTGTTCAGCGGATCATATGTCGGGAGTAAATGACGACTGCTATGTTCATTATTACATCCAACAGCAAAAGACCTCAATCGCTTAGGAGCCATTTTGCTCCGGCGTCCAAACAATGGTGGACTGATGACAGCTCACTCAGGATGGGTCTGTGCTAAAACACCAGTGTCAGTCAACAATCATGGGAGGGGCCTGGGTCTGTGTGACGTTATCAAAGTCCCTTTCCAGGAAAGCCTGTTCACTCAGCGGCCATATTTGCAACGCCTCTGGGCAGCTCAAACAAGACCAAGTCCTATCTAAATGAATGGGGGAATCCTGAAATCTCAAAAACTACTCGGTGAACTCGCGATTACATATTTCAAATCAGCAACAAAATCTGAAATTAACTGCCCCATGAATGTTGTTTCTTATGCTCAAATAGTGTTTTAAAAGCTTATTGTTTAGGCTAGACCAGCCAATGCACATGCGTAGCTCCAACGCGCTTATGACTGTGCATGCGGATCGGCTGGTCCAGCCTCAGGTTTCTATGGGAACCGGAGCTTCTAACGGCCGCTGCAGTGACGCAATGACTTTACCAATCAACGATTGGCTCTTTCATTTAGAAGGCGGGACTATCCCGCCATATTGCGCATCGCAGATTCTCCCATTCAGAAGTATAGGAGTAAACCGTCTTTGTATTTCTATAGTCTTTGACGTCACACAGCCAAGAATCTGAGAATGGCTTGATTTGAGAAAGGGGATATTATTTTGGGGGATTTTTAAAAAGAAAAAGCACTGGGGTGTGTTTTTATCAATATAGGGTGCTTGTGTACACACACTGCCAACACATGTTTATGTTCAAACAACATGTAAAAGTGAATTTTGCATCTGATGACCCCTTTAAGAATCTCTAGCCATGATTTGGTGCATTTAATTATAAGAGTCTTTAAAATATATCATCTTCTTCATCCCATCAGGTCCATCACTACTTCCTACTATCGCAACTCTGTGGGCGGCCTCTTAGTCTTCGACCTGACGAACAGGAAGACCTTCGATCACGTGCGGGAATGGCACCGAGAGGTCAGCGAGCACATCCTGCCTCATCACATGGTCTACATCCTAATCGGCCACAAGAGTGACCTGAGCCGCGACCGCAAGGTGACGCGGGACGAGGCGGAGCAGCTTGCGGCCGAACTCGGCATCTGCTACGTGGAGACTTCGGCCAAGTGCAACAGCAACGTGGAGCGTGCTTTCGAGCTGCTCACATGGGACATCTATGAGCTGATGAAGATGGGCGAGATCTCCACGCGCGACGGCTGGGACGGGGTCAAGAGCGGCCTCACCGCTAAAGTTCTGTATCCCGCCGAAGAAGAGGCGGAGCGAGAAAAGAGCTGCAACTGCTGACTCCCACAAGCCACCTGCAGTCGCTCACCTGTGTATCAGTCGGTCATCGCTTTCACTAATGTGTCGCATCATGGTCACTGCCTCAGGCCTGGACTGCTGCTCTTATCTCGTTGTCCCTGTCTGAGGTTGATGGTACAAGCCTCTCAAAGGTGTAGTATATTTGGGCTTGAATGGACAGGCCCTGCTTCATATTGTTGGAGATCACGTCATGTTCTGAAGTTTGCAGCACTCTTGTGGATAGCGTGCGGGTAAAGGATTTTAGAGTCTAGTTGTACTTCACATCCTCTGGAGCTAATATGGTTTATTTGGTTTGCTCCTTTCCCTTTAACCATTATTACTATAGTACAGTTAACATTTAGCGAGAACATATCGTAATTGCAATCTTATCTACACTTAAATACTTCAAAGACCCCATAAAATGGCTTGACTACATGGTTTTCTTTCCTGTGTTGACATTCCTTATTGAAACAGGAAGTTGGAGATGGACAAATGGCTTGTCCTTAAAAAAAACTATATCCAATAGCCATTAGTTTATGTCAGTGCCATGAGCCATGCTACTTCCTATTGCTAGTCAGTGGCTGGTGGTATTAGGAGAAGGGCATTTGAGAGCATAATATTTTCCCAGTAGCAAAATACTGTAAAGTGTGTGTTTTTAATAGGTTTTTAGGACTACACATAGTACATAAACGCCATCTATATTAATAAGAGTCATGGACTGAAAGCCACAAAACTCCAAAAAGAACATATAAAAGTGAAAACTGGCTGGTAGACATAATTTATAGGTAAAAAGGCAAGACTAAGGGGCCGTTCACACAGAACGCATTTTACCATTCTAATGTGCTACTTTTCTATTGTGTTTCTATGTAAACACACGCTAGCTGGACGTGTATGACCACTGCACTCGCTTCTTTTACAGCGCCAGAGTTTTAAAACTCTGTCAAGTTAAAAGAATTTCAATTTTTACACACAGCGCCGCTCATCAATATCAGTTCCAAAACAGTGGACCAATAAGAAGACCCCGGAGGCGGAGCAAGCGTTACAAGTGTACAGTAGCAAGTTGGCATGGAAATTATTTATCAGAACCTGTTTCTTAAAAAAAATCTATTCTGCTGTTTGGATTTTTTCTGTTATTTCCATTATTGCATCACGTCTCAAAAGCGCGTCTCAAGAGCATTCTGTGCTGTGCTTTTTTTTTTAAAACCATTCCTGTGCTTTTAAATGCAAAGACGCGTTCTGTGTGAATGCCCCCTAAGGTGTTTTTTTACACGACACTGTTATCAACTAAAAATTGGAACTTTTTATGCATTTTGGCCATTGCATTTGGGCTTGAAAACACATTTGAAAAAGGCTTTCAAAGTGTATGTTTTTGGAAACAATACCATTGTTGTCTCCATGTAAACTATAAAAATGCAAATTTGTGAAAATGGTGACATCCAGCGTTGCCAGATTGGAAATGTCCAATTATCGTAGCAGAAGCTCAAAATGATCGAAGAAAATTATCGTACACGAGTCAAATGTAAAGAATGCAGCTATTAAAATATAGCTGATATGGTCTATATCTAGACCAACAACTTTTTGACACGACCTGCAAATTACCATAACAGATAAATAACTAGGCGTATCTTACACCGTATCTACACCGGACGCGAGTGGCACGACAAAATACTATAGAACCCATTATAATCAGTGACGCTGTCTACACTGGATGCGGCGTGACACGACACATCCCCGACAGTAAACTGATGCCTCGTTCTATTTATGACGCACTGACACAAAGTTCAAATGATTTTTAACAGTTGCTTTGTCACGTGCAGTGCAGACAGACTTTAGCTGTTGTGGCGCGACGGTGTTAACTCCACATCTGAGTCGCTGTCATCGGAAGCCTGCGTGTCGCCAGATGTTGAGGGGGTTCTTGCCGTCATGGACCGCGACATAGTGCTCGTTGGCTTAAGAAGCAGGGCACCCTCCTGCATTCTTAACACACTCTGAGGTATGCATGAGTGCAGTCTGTAATGAGCCGATTTCGTGTATGAGTATATAAGCCCTATGATTACAATTACCATCGTTTGAAGTGTCACAAAATTCTGAAATTATCGTACATTATGGGATTTTTTTTCATTATTGATTGTACAGAGTACAGAGGTCAAACTTATCGTACAAATACGATAATTATCGTATTTCTGGCAACACTGGTGACATCATGAGCATGTGTATTATGTGTTCAGTCTATAGGCTTGCACAAGTTTCTTTACAAAGTGACATCGCCAACTACTGGCCTGGCATGCATAATACAGCAAATGTAGTACTTTTCACTGATTCCATGTGAACGGCGATTGTATTGTTGACGTCTGTGCACAAAACTCTTCTGAAAAGCAAAGGAAAAACGTTGTAGTAGATCGTTGTCGTGTAAACGTACCCTAAACCTCCCCTCAAACTGATCGCTGGGTCTGCAAATGTAATTTCGCACATTCAACATTCAGTGTAATCTAAAATCTAGTGATCTGCAGACCTTGACAGCATGATACATTCCTGACACAAAGCCTGTTCCAAAAGATAGTCAGCAACATTGAAATGCCATATTTCGGCTGCAGCACATGTACTGTATATAACTATATCTCATTCAATACTGGAAAATATCAATTGAAATAAATTGACTATTTTACCCAGTATTTGTGGTGCTATGTATTGTCTGTGCTTATCAGAGTATCACTGCATGCAAACAAGTCTACAACAAATTTCCACCTATTTGTAGCATTACAATTGAATCACTTATGAAGTTCCATTGGTTCGGATGTCACCTTACACCCAAAGTATCAATGGTTTTGACGTGAAAACTATGGAGAACATTGGAGTATTGCCACCATAGACTTGCTGGAAGTTCACACCAAGAACAATATCTATAACAACAACTATAAAGCTTTAATAATCATTCGAAATGATCGAACTTCAAATCCAATCAGAATCCACTTGACTTTAAGGAGCGTGAACATTTAAAGTGGCAGACGAAGGTCTGCAGTGCGTTCTTATAATAGAAAAAATGTTATCAGGCATTGGTGTGGACGCTAATATAGCGATCCTTTTAGTTATAGTTATCATTCTTGGTGTGTAAGAGCGGGACCCGAGCAATATCTACACACCAGAGACTTGCAAGTGGGCATAGCAATGCTAAAACGTCCACATATAGTAGCATTGCTCTGGCAACCGCCCACAAGCACCTCTAAAAATGGAGTTTCTTGGAGGTTGAGCTCGATAACACCAGGATCGGGTCTCATGCACTGACTGTATCTGACGAGTAACCCAGACCATGTGCTGCTTCAGATCACGGCAGAGGATATAACAGATATAACGGCACTCCTCATCTCACCAGCACATCAGTCATGCTTGCTGTACAGAGGTTTTGCAGCTAGCATTGCTGAGAGTCTTTAGTTCCATCATGTGCCGTCGGCTTTACTGGGTGTGTTTGTACATACATTTCTGTACGGCTAAATGCATTGTAAATAGCAGCAGGGCACAATGTACTTACATGTCAGGTGGAAGCTAAAGGTTTGTGTGGCTTAACCGCAGGTCAACATACTACACATACTCTAATTCAGAGCCAGTATGCAAATAGAGTATGATAAAGTCTTTGTGTCAGAATTGTACAATTAGTTACACACATTTTTGATTTTACAGACCAAGTGTGAAATTCTCCCAAACTGCCAAATTATCTTCTGTAATAATATGTGACCCTGGACCACAAAACCAGGGTTAATATTTTGAAATTGAGATTAATACATAATCTAAAGCTGAATAAATAAGCTTTCCATTGATGTATGGTGTGTTAGGATAGGACAATATTTGGCTACTATTTGAAAATCTGGAATCAGGGTGCAAAAAAATCGAAATATTGCGAAAATCACCTTTAAAGTTGTTTAAATGAAGTTCTTAGCAATGCATATTACTGATCAAAAATTCATTTTGATGTATTTACAAAATATCTTCATGGAACATGATCTTTACTTAATATCCTAATGATTTTTGGCATAAAAGAAAAATTGATAATTTTGACCCATACAATGTATTGTTGGCTATTGCTACAAATATACCTCTGCTACTTTAGACTGGTTTTGTGCTCCAGGGTCACATATATAGGTAAACAAAGCTGATCATATGCAGACTTGAGACTTCTCCTCACAGAAAATGAGACAAAAATCACAGATTCTGTTGCTTTCGATCCATGTGCTTTAGGACAATCAGGTTTCCTTGCTCATTTTCACAGCTTTATTGTGCAGATGAAAAACATCAGATAAATTTGAGTGAGGCTGCAGAAAACTGACTGTGTATAAACTTTAAAAATGAAATGAGTAAATAAGTCCAACTTTTCATCCAACACTAGAACTTACAAGAATATGGTTTATTTGTATAGATTTTGTTTTCTTAATAAAACACATGCACTAACATAACTGTTTTGGTTGAGACATGGCAATTACTGAAGGAAAATCAGACGGTGAAAACACCTTGTGGACAAAACACTGACATAAATGTGCTAAATGTTAGCAATTTTATACAAGTTGGAAGTTGTGGATGCAAAGTTTACAGGGATGGGAAATAGATAAGAATGAGAGAAGTTAATGTGTTGGATTAAGGCTAAATTTACCAATGCAATTCACACATATAAAAATAGTCAAATGCAGTGTGAAAAGCCTCGTGGATTTAACATTCTGATGGGTTGATACAGTTAAATATGTATAAATATTTAAATAAAGATCTGAAGGACAAATATGTGACCGCACTGCTGTTGTGTTGCGGTCACTGAACGGTTTTGCACAATTTGACTAGTTTCTATGGTAACTGCATTCAGTAAGTACTTACTCATGGCATATTTAACTGCACATAGTGCTTTTCAAGTACTAGTTCACATATGAATGCATTATAACTGATAAAATCATTCATGGTGGTGCCAAATACATTGTACCCGCCCCCTGGTGGTCAAAAGAGAACAGCTCTATGACCCCATTTTAATAAAATTGGTTGCAGGGAAATAAATCAAATAGCTAGTGTAAATGGAATAAGTTTATTGTGTATTATAGATAGATATTCAGTATAACAGCAGGGCTTTCATTAGTCACCCACTGTCCATTCTAGACACATAAACACATCTGTAACAGGCCTTTATAGGGGTTCATCACTGATGTGGATGAGCAGAGTGAAATGTATTGCACATTTTAAATGTTAAATCAACTGTAATAATTGCTAATAGTAATGATGTAAGCTCTGGGCATTGTAAACTGTCAATATATTTTGCATTGTGATTTGGTAAATGTCATAAGATTCATTATGTTTAAATAAAATTAGAATTAAGATCGGTGTTCTCAATCTCTTGCAGTAAGTTGTGTGTGTGTGTGTGTGTGTGTGTGTAAAAGATAAGCAGTTCAATATGATTTCACCTTCACTGTAAAAAATGACCGTGAATTTAACGGTAAAAGACTGTAAAAATGCTACAGTAAAAACCTGTTAAATGGTTAACGGTAAATTCCTCTACTATATACGGTGAAAAACTGTATTGGACATTACATGTAATTTTACAGTAATATACTGTTTTTGGAAGTTAAAAAGCCGTATAATTTACAGTGAATAACCGTAAACTGACATTCCCAGAATTCCCTGCGTTACATTTCAAATTGGATGTTTTTTTGTTGAAATAACTATGATTCTTCTTAGTTTTTTCTTATCAGTTTTGTATATTAGGGTTGTGTGTTACACCTAATGTTGTTAAATGAATGTTTATTGCATTATTTCAGTTTCATGTGTTACCATGATGGTGTTTGGTGTTCGTGTGAATGACACTGTGCACCTTCTATATATGTTATTATTTAAAAACTGCTTGTGATGGGCTTTGGTTCATCATGTGACTTTCTCATCACCTCCTGCATTTGGTGGTTATCACTGTATTACAAAGGTACATAACAGATTTCAGTACTTCAATACGTTGGTATTAACATTATATCAGTTAATGAACTTGCAGTATTTAACTAAATTTAAGTTAAAACCGTAAAACCTAAAACGTTGCTACCGTATTTTTTTAATGGGAAAATTCTGGCAACCACAGCTGCCGGTTTTTACAGTAAATTTTACGGATTTTTTTTTACAGATTTGTTCATTTGGACCTTTTTTTGTGATTTATTCTTCAGGTTACATTGTTACAACCATAA